TTTAACAAATACTTGAAGAGCTTTCATCTCTTTTTTAACAGATATTTGACCACCTTCCATCTTTACTTGAGCAGCTTATATCTCTTTTTTAATGACTGAACAGCTTCCATCTCTTTTTTAACGATTCAACAGCTTTCATCTCTTTTTTAACGATTGCACAGTTTCATCTCTTCTTTGAACGCAAAAACGGTTGCTAATAACAGTATTAATTGTTCATCCACCGTTCTTGTCACTGGCATTCAGGCTCACTACTGTCATCAAAATGTTTCGCGTGCGTGCGGGTTCGCAATAGATATTATGGACACAGATCCAGTGATCGGTTGATAAACTTTATTTTGTCATTTAAACACTTCAGAGATCTGGAACTTTTCACAAAGACAGTTCTTTCAATTCTTCACAATATCACAGAGTAAAATGAGTAGCTGCACTTCAAACTATTATGAAGGTTCAACACGATGAAAAACGCAGCTAAAGACAAAGCTACGTGGAGATCTCAGTCCTCCTAACTCAAGTTAAGCTAACAAAAACAACAAAAACCCAGAGAGCAGGTGCTCTCTTCGGCCTTACATAGTATTCACCCGGTCACCGAAATATTGCTGTCACTTTCTGCTTCTCAAAATTACTGGAAGGCAACGTCGAATTACGATTAGAGCTAATATAGTGATCAATTCCATTTATTCAATTGCCGCCTAAACGTACAGCGGTTAGGGAAGCCGACTGCGATACCTAAGGGCCCGGGTTCGAATCCCAGAGAAAGCATGAATTGTGTGTCCTCTCATGGGAGGTGACGGTGAGCGCCTATTATGTGCCTCCATAATAAAATGGCTACTACTTCTGGCCTTAGTAGCGGTGAAAGACGAAAATGGCTAGTGCCCGCCACTGGGGGAAAGAACATTTATTCAATTATGGTACCTGCTACTGTGATACAGGGATTGGACCAAAATGCCGCCTATGGTCGCTAAGTTTGACTACTTTTTGTGATTTCTCGCCATATCACCGATGTACTCATTTACTCAATGTTAAATGGACTTGCCCCTGATTTCTTATTTTTTCGGTATTTCTAGTCTAAAGTCTAGAGACTTTTCATGTTACATTATGTGAAAAAATACAACAATTTCACATATAATTACACTAAAATAACCTATCTATGTACAATATTCGTAACAATATGGTGTCAGGAGTTTGTTGAAAGTTAATTTAATCAGCTAAATGTGAATTTCTGTTAACTATTCAATGAGCTTCTGTCTGGGTTCGCTGAATGATTTGCAGCTGAAATTCAGAAGTTGTGAATTTATATTCCCATTGAGTCTGTATTATTTATTACGAATTTGTGGTAAAAATGCAATTAAAGTTTCGAAAAATCAATAAACAGAAAGTAAATTTTATGAATCACGCATCGGTGAGAATATTATTTACTAACTAGATTTCTTGACTGGTATAAAAAGCCAGATCTGATCAGTATTTTGTATACATATTGTATCTCGTGTTTAAAAATCAAATCAGTCAAAGAGAAATCAAAGATAATCAAAATCAAAGAGGAAAAATGATCAAAGGAAATTTTAGCTTTCGGAACTAAAATTCCCTGTGTTTTGAAAATTTTGTAGACAGTAAGTAAAATTCCAAAAAGGAACTTTCCATATAGTCAGAAATATCTTCGACTCCGGGAAATTTTAAACACTCTTTTTCCTTTACCACTAATCTTTTGCCAAGACGCTTATTATAGTTTCAGGCCCGCCAGCGACCGACCGGTGAAGTCGCTGAACACTGGTAGTCCGACCTCCCTCGGTGAACCTAACGTTCAGTTTGATAGGCACCCCGTTGGAAACCTATCCCAGTGTAGCAACATGTTTTTAATTTTTCGAATTTTTTCGAGCATAGTAGAGGAATAAAGATGTAAAAGTCCTTGAAGTAATGGATAAATTAGTCCGACCTAAGTTCAGTTCCAGACTAATGAGTTGGCTGCATGTTCAATGTGGATACGAAAATTTTCCTTAGAATGTCCTCCACATTCCATAAGGGGAAGGCAACATTTACCTTATGCGGATAGCCATAAAGTGCTTTGCCATAATTAAATAAACTAAATCAATCATTACAGTTACAAACTTCTGTGCCTTTTGCTGGACGTGAACCCTAACCAAAAGTCATTAGATTCCATCAAACCATAACGCAAGGTGGTTTATTTTGATTGGCCATGGTTTGTAATACAACGAACGAAACTGAAAGATTAATAGAATTTAAACGTCTAAACGGCGGGTACAAAATTTCTAAACGTGTAAAATGATTGCACATATTTTCTTCCTGCGAAACTGATTGTAGTTCATATTCCAGTTTCTATTGACGTGATAAGAAAATCCCGCATATATTTAGAACAAAATGTGAAAGAGTTATTCGCGAATCCCGTGTTCAAAGGGTTAAGAAATCTGGGAGTCTATGCTTTAGAGTCAAAAGTGTTGTCTGAATGGCCTCTATTTCTCTATCAATGGCCGTGCTCTAAAAATCAAGCAGTAATTAATATTAAATCTGAAAAGAGAACTGAAATTACCAGCATAGGCTCTATTCTCCTTATCAAGTTTAGAAGTCATCTGTATAAATATGCACCATTCATTATTTCGATATTGTTCTTCAGTCATTTCCACCGGTAATGCAGTCCGATTTTAAAATAGGCTGACAAAGATCCAGTCACAAAAGCAATACTTCGAATTTCAGTAGACTCACAGGGCAGTATTAAGGGATAATTCAATTTCTTACTCATGAGAAACTGAAAAGAAACCTTGCTGAGTTGTAAGCTTTCGTGGCTGATAATTTATTATAAGATTACTAAAATCTGAGAAATTCCAAAAATTTCTTCAAAGTTTTAACCTAAGAATTCGCGAATGATCTTATTTACTCAGTTGCCCAGTGTAACGTAACAGATCATTTTTGGAGGTGTTTTTTTTAAATTTCTTATAATAAAAAAAACCTTATTTTGGAAAAATTCCACTTTGCGTTTCAAATTCTTAAGGAGTTATTAAAGGACATCAGTATTTTATAATAAATTTTATAAGCACTTTGTAAGTTGTAAATAAAGTGGATATGGAATATTTTCAGTGTATTCTTGCTAAGGATATCGTCATACGAAAGTATTTTCAGTATTTACATCCATGCTTTTATTTGTTCCAACAGACTTCTAGTAATCTATCAATATGGAAAGTAAAATTCCTGGACAGTAGTACAATTTCAAAATACGCATACAAAGATCCAATCGCAAAGTAAGACTTCAGTAGGAAAATTGGGTTTTAGTAAAGGAGATGTTCCAAAAATTAGTTCGTTTTTAAGTTTATCCCTCATAGAAAACTGAATGAAATATTGCTGAGTTTTAAGCCTTCGTCGATGCCAATTTATCTTAAGAATCTTGGGCATCTGAGGAAGTTGAAAATGATTCAAATGTTTTTGTTCAAGTGTGAGCCCACCTTAGAACTGAAAAACTGCATCCAACATATTATACAGATTTCTGGAATTCGTTATGACGGAACCAAGGAATAGAGACATGGGGGCCATATAAAAATTATAAACAAAGTTACTTTATTCTGAACGATTCTTTGAACTTCGAGATACCAAACCTTCGATACATTTCATTGTATTATAGTATTTTCACATAATATTGCAAAAATGAGTACTGAAAAAGGTTTGTGTGGAAAATATGTTTTTGAGAGTAGTAGTTAAAGAAAATCGTACTAAGCATTCTTCTAATCAGGAATCCTCTTTTTAATCAATTGATCTTCTACATAACTTTCTAAACATAGCTTTCTAATCAGAAAACATTTAATTCAGACTGATATTTCAATGATTTGCTACTTTTATAAACCTGGTATTCCGGAATTTTTTCCATGTTATATAAAATTATATCATATTTTTAATATAAGTTTTTATGGCAATAACATTTTCCTTTCCTGGTTATTGTAAAGGTTTTTAATTATTTTCTTCTAAGTTTATTTCAAAGTTTTTTTTCCACAAGTACTATTTTAGGTTAAAATTTTTTTTATAAAACCTCCAATATATTAAATAGAGGCCTTTATTTCTTTGCTTTAATAGCATGTCCATCCTGCCTAATTCAAAGAATTTGGATATTGTGAACCTATACAGAATAATTTTTAAATCTTCAGTTTGTGTGTTATTCTGAATTTTATCGTAAACTCTAAAACTAATCTCATTGTAAATATGGTGTCATAGCAATTTATTGGTCATTTAAAAAGAGTGATGCTTAAATTTAAAAATTAAGATTACTGGCTAACATAATTATTAAATGTAAGTAGAGAATTTTTTCCAAAGAAACATGAACCAAAAATTTAATTTGTATTGACGCAAAACTCAAAAGAGATATATACGCTTTTCTTACTTTGCAAAACCTACTTTTGTTAAAGTTACTCAAACATAAATGTATTTATGCAACAAATTTACCCAAAACATGAAATTAAATACAGTATACTGAAAGGTAAGCAAATTCAGTTTTCTTTTAGTATGGTGTACCTTTTTAAGAAATCTAGCTGATGCATTACCCTGTTATAGAAATAATGTGAAATGAAATTTTAAAAACAAAAGGATTTTAGTATTTTAACTAAACAGTTTCATTTTACCTAAGTTTTGTATGTAAGTAACTTTTTGGGAAAAGGAAATAAATTTTACTCAAAATGTAGAAATACCTATAGCAAACTTCTAATTTTTAGGTGACAGAAGAAATTCATAAACACAATGAAGTGGTATAAGAATTATTAAATCCCAAATAGCTACTGCGGCAGTAATTTATAATATTTTGCAAGAAAGAAAATAATGTCATTTCCTTTTTTAAACACATCTTTGAAGTGCATACTCTTTGCAGTGATTCATTATTTCAATTTTTTTCTTTGTCTCTTTTTAATTAAAAAGAATCAAAATCCTACAAAAAAATTTCTGGCGAATTTCTAATCTGATAAATCCTTCATCAAATGTCAAACTACAACTTTAACGTAAAATTAATTACTTACCTGATAAAAAGACCAATGAAGAGATGAAAATAAGGAACCGCATTTCGACATTAAACATTTCAAGCTGTAATAGCTAGGTTACAACACAGTGACGATAATGAATGATAATGAATGAGACTGCTTATAAAAGAGGATACAGCTGTTATCCATGTTTATGAACACATCCGTTCAGTAAAAAGCAATTAGGAACTCGTAGGAAGCAATATGCCAAATAACGGATGCAAGAGTAGTTAGTTTGAAAGGTCAAATGCTTATATAACTCGAATCCTGATTCAATTTTTAAATAATATTGAAAATAGATCATCTGAGATCCCATTAAATTGCGACACTATACTCATCATGTGAAGGTTATCTTGTATAACATATTCATAAGACAATTAGATAGAGCCACATTTCATTTAAAACACTCACACTTAACTTATTATAAAGCATTTAATGGAGCACTGGAATATACTTGAAATTGATTGTTCTACAAAGCTGATACATAATAGTTCTCAGGCTATGATGAAATAATCATATATGTTTCCATTTTCAGATAAGCTTGACGTAAAATTTTGTTTTATAGTAAGTATTGTAAATATAGTAAATAACTTCCTCTAAGAAACTAAACGAAGCTTTAATCAACTAAAACTACACATAAAACAGAACATCAAATGCTACATTGTGAGAATAACATTTAAACAAAGAATAACTATTGCCATTCTATGTAATATAATTTTAGTGCCGTCAATAATACTAAATAATGTACCACATCCACTTCTCCCAGAGATTATTAATAAGTTACACAGTCTGACAGATAAGAAGGTTAACGTTTCTGCCTTTTCGGACGCAAGGATTCTACAGCATGTAATATCTGAGCTTAGAGAAGAGCTAGCCATGGTTATTCTACCAAAATATGGTTTTACTTGAAGTAGACAACTTTTCTCAAAACACTGATTTATGAAACTGAGTAAACTACTAGTATCAATTAGCATTCAGCTGAACCCCATTTACTAGGATTTTAGTTACTGATATTTCAAGACAGTGAGAAAGCATCGAAGCTGATGCTAGTGTATAAACTGCCGCTGTGGAATTAGTAGTACTGCGTACAAGTTTGGACTTGCAGACCTTTTGTAATGGCCCTTTTATTCACATCCTCCTCGATATATTGCATCCTTAGCTGAGCAAACACTTCGTAAACGAAGGTCTCTTCCAGAAAAGAAACGAATCTGGAACGAATAAGAGCAACTACTGCAAACTGTTCATTATCGTCACTTTTGCTTTCACATTGTTCAACTGCAGCTACCGGTGCTGAGGAAGATGTCAAATACGATTCAGAATGATGTTCAGCAAGTTCTAATGCTTTATCTTTGATCATAAGCTTTTTTTAATGAAATACTGGCAATTTCTAATAACCGTTCTCGAATGCGCGGTTTCTTCAAACCTCGGGTGAATGCATTTCTAATATACTCATTTTTATATTCTTCTGCAGTAACAGACTTAAATTCACAATCTTTGCTCAGCTGTTTCAATAAATATTCATTTACAGAGTCACCTGTTTGTGAATTTAAGTGAATCTAGATGCTAAACAGCGCCAGGCAAGCATTCCATTTCTTTTAGTAATGTGCATTACGAAAAAAAAGGGGGACAGTTCTATATGTCCCGTTCGCATATTTCACAAGTGTACATCTGTGTAGCCACCGAGGGAGTGGCTTCTAGGATGGACCAATGAGCATCCAGTAATATTTCTGTCATGTCATATGACGTTTCGCGTGCTTTAAATAAGATGGTTGAAAATATTCTGCCACGCAGTTTTTTGTTCAAAATAATTAAAGCATCGTCGATTGCTTCTGAAACTTTTCATTGCGAAGTTAAATCAATTACAGGAAATTATGAAGATTTCACTACCTGGTTGAAATAAATACAAACACATGTTGGATACTTCGCAAAAATATCGACGTGAAATATTATTTGGTAAGTGGTAAATAAGATGAAGAAAGAAATATGTGATAAACATCTGAGCCCAAATGCAATCTTTACATAAAACTATGCGTATGAGAAAAATATTTACACCAATTATATATGTAAATAGAAGTCAGCACTTTTTATTGCAGTCTATATGAAAAAGATGTTCTATAATAATAACCAATGCAGAATTTTATTCAAAGGGAACTTTACTAATTTGCATTCGTATACATTTAGTGTGTTAAATTTCGCATTTAATAACTGCTCACTCTTAAATGTACTGTCTACACAAGAAATATTCATCAAACAGAGTGAATTTATCGTATTCACAACGAGTACATTCAATTTATTCACATATAATTTTTTAATGTTAACAAGTGGATATAATCATATCCTGCACAATATGTATTCTGAATCTTACACGTTTAAAAATCAGAAAAATGCAAGCACCGAAATAAAAAAACGCTAGATTCATTGTAACACTTCTTCCAGTCATTCTCAGCTCAATTAAAAAATATATATATACACTTTGAATTATCTTAATCCACGGGTGTTAGTAAATGCATAATATTTGAGGTAATTGTAGCTTGAGTCCTTTTCTCGATGTAAAGAGTGATACTATGCCGTGAACATCAATCCAAATATTATTGCGCGATAAAAATCGCGAAAGTGAAATGTTAGCGATTAATTAAACTCAGAAAACGAAAGCTACTACGTGATTTTCTACTACAACTCCATACATTTATAACTGCGAAACGAAAAGCAAATTAAAACGTAAACAACATACGCTCACATGCACCGACGATTTAGCGTCACAAGAACAATAGCAGCTCATTGGTTCATTTTCGAAACCCCTCCCTCAGTGGCTACGCTGATGTGCACTTGTGAAATATGCGTCCCGTTCTATTGGGTTGATTGACAAAATTCAACTTGCGTTTTTCATGTCTTGAAAGCACGATTTACGAAAAGAATTAGATTTATATATATATATACCATTGTTCTAATACAGGTATTTTGACACAAATTCGGACTTTTTCTAAAACGACATGCCAATTTGTTTCCATATTTCCATTCTACGACTCAAATTATGCCAAACTGCCAAGTTTTGTAAAAATTGCAAGAGCAGATTTTAAAAAATTAGCTCTCAAAATTTTAGCTGCTCAATGTAAATTGAATTTGATATATATTTATTAATATCTCTTTTTTATTACACTTGTTTGATTCTTCCTTTCATATTTCGAAATTTAGGTTCATCCCAAATAAAATTCACCAATTTTTTATGATTTATTTTTAAAACTTATATTTTTAATTAATTCTTATAAATTTTTCGAAAAACATTTTGAATTATAACCTATAAATTTTTTGCCATCATCTTAAAGTAGATGTATTTCTAAGCATACCTGCAAAACTTCAGTCTTTCATTCAAAATTTCCTAAAATATATGTGAATTTACATTTTGAAATTTGGTGTATTTATTAAAAGCGATAATAACGAAAATGTGGTTTGCGCACTTTGTTAAAGTTATTTGAAAGTATGAACGATGACTTTTTTCCCGCTCGGGCACAAAGAAAAAATGTTAAAGAAAAAATGTTGCTATAAATTAAGAAGTTCTCCATTCTTGGAGTAAACTCAAAATATACGCCAAGATAATTTTTTTTATTTCTCCATAAATGTCTCACTAGAAATTGCAAAACTTTATATATAGGCATAATTTGAGACATAGAATCGAAATATGGAAAAATATTGGTATATTATGTGCTTTCGATACATGGAAAGCACAATTTGAATTTCGTCAAGCGGCCCAAAAGAACGGGAGATATAGAAGCGTCCTTTTTTTTCTTTTTGCGAAGTGTACAATGAATATAGAACATTAATTGCATTATCTAACGATTCTGAGTCATTAATATATTGATAAACACTTGCAGATAAGAAATTGCATAACAGTTGTCGTTTTCGTTCTTCAGTTGCCTTCTTCACTTGCATGAGAAAATTTGAAGAAGTTCACTATAATAATAATAAAGAATAAATCAGTTATGATTGATTAAGTTAATGTGAATATAGTAAATCCCTTTCTTTAAGAAGCTGAAAAGAAGCTTTAATCAACTAAAACTATGCATAAAACAGAGCATCAAATGCTACATTGGTAAAACAACATTTAAACAAAGAATAACTGTTGCTATTTCATGTTATATAATTTTAGAGCTGCCAATATTAATAAATAAAAAACCACAGTAAGTAAAGAAAATTATGGTGATAACAGTCTACTGACGTAAAAATATCAAGATTCAATCTTTTCCACATGTGTAAAGATTGATCACATTCACTCACACCATAACCGTGCGCACACATACACACTCTCACAAAAGATTTAAAACATTATGTTACTTATATTATATTTAAATAAGTAAAAAAATAATATATTAAGCTTACTTTTTCTTGGACTTAAAATGTTTCTTGTTTTAAATCAGCATACAGGACGAAAACTCATTATTAAAACATAAAATCTATACTTATTTTTATAATATAATGTAATGAAATGAGCACTATTATTCTTATTATTTGCTTTGAAAATATGATGCTCTTTGGAATGAAAGGTATAAGGTAGTGATTCTCAACCTTTTTTTGTTACGGTACTTAAGAATTAAACTATCTGGCGCACAGTAAGATAAATTTAAATTTACTTGGTTAATTGATTGATGCTCCCCATAATATATTTTGTAAAAATATGATTATAGCTTCCAATAAAATATGAAATAAAAAAAATTGAAAGATTTCAGATTTTAAATTACGGCCAACGGGTCGTTTTTTGTTAACGTTTTGTATGTTACCTAACGTTATTAAATATCATATTCTTCGCACTTAAACCGTAAAATTCAATTTAACAGCAATATAAAAAAATATTTAAAAGAGAATAACTTTAGAGTTTCTGATACATAGCCTCGCGCGCTGGAGATAATCCCCCCCGGTACAGTGTTGCCATTGCTCGCTTTGAAATCATTGAGTTTCTTAACTAAAAACTCATAAATGCTTTACAAAATATAAAATAGGTAATAAAACAAATTCCAAATTTGGGCTTCCAGATGCCAATTTAAAAAGTGATTCGCCGTTTATAGTGAATCAACGCAAAATGCTATAACGAAATTAATAGCCCTTCTAAGCAAATTGCCCCTTTGGGCTAAAAATTGCATTACAAAGTAAAAAAAAAAATGTTTATAGCGAGCACTGAGAGGCTCTGCAAATCGCTGGATGTTTATTTTATGGTAAATTACAAATTATATTTAATGCAAAATTTAAGATTAGTGTTTTTTCCTAACTTCATTTACATTTGGATGTAAAAATGATAACGCTACTCTCATTTCATGATCCGGATTTAAAAATCTCGATCTTTGTTTCGTTTCCATATTTATAAAAGCCAAAAATTCGAATTCAAGTAAATAAGGTATGAAAAATATATCTTAAGCAATTTATCTTCGATTTCGATGTCTGACTTCGCTCTTATTGTAAAAGTAGACAATTTTTAACTTTTGCTTCCACTTAATAACACCTTATCCTGGTGCAAAACAGGAATGAATGTTATAGCTCTTTTTTATCTTTAATATGAGTGATTATATCCTTGCTTCTTTAAAACTGACCTTTTTATAATAACAAAAGTTTAGCCAGAAACAAAATAGTAAAACGAAAATGTTTTTATGATGATTTAGCTACAGCCTTTGTAAAAGGCAAACAAATCCTTTAAAATTCTTTATTCTCTTTTATCTATTTCACGTCCATTTCGACAATAACTTAATAAAATTTTTACAATTTTAATCTTCAAAAAAAAAAAAAAAAAAACTCAGTGGCGCGCAAACAGCTCTAATGGGCCAGGGCCTGCAGTGCCCCGAAATCTGCTTTCTTGACCGTGGGCACAGGGGTGCTTAAGCATATGCCCTGAACAAGCTTGTCGCAGGACCCCTAGTGTTTAGTCCCAAGTGTACTCATTTTATCTTATCAGTGGTACTCATTTTATCGATAGAAGGGATGGGAATTAAGGGATGAAAGGCTAAGTCCACCTTGCCCAGCCCGGGGTTCGAGCCCCGGACTTGTCTTGCTGCTGCGCAATGCGCTAGCCACTGCGCCACTGGGCCTACAATTTTCAATCTCCCTCTCGACAAAGTGAATGACTCGAGTTTATCCTCAGTATGGTAATACCCTCTCATCTAAAGTTAGGTTTTTGTTCGGTCTACAGTTTATTGTTAACTTGTAACTTAACATTGTCCATATTACACTAACTATAGCAGTTCTACTATCTTGAAGACGTTCAATTCCTCTGAGTAATTCTTAAGTTTACAACAAACACCTAGTATTTTGTCAATTATCTGATAATATAAGTGTATATTGTCTAGTTCTCACTTTTCATACTGTCTGGTGGAAAACTCCTCCATTTTCACTACTAAATATGTAAAATAAGAGAATAAAATCACTGTAACAGATATTATGGCGTACACTGTATGTATGAAGAAAATAGAAACATTTTGATTTGTTTTCAGCTAAAAACATTTCTTGGTAACAAAATATTAATCGAAACGGAGCTAGGCAGTTTAAGCACAACATTTAACCCCATCCATCCTTGTTAGTATTTTGTGAAAACAAAATTCTTTGCCTTCCATGAAAAGAGGCAGCGAGAACACATATTTCAGAGTACTGGATTTGAAATTCAACGTAAATGCTCAGCTACCCGGCCAGATAGAACAGTTTTCCAAAAGACAATATACAGAGTGAGAAATACTTATTTTAGCATGTAAATAGTAAATAACTTATGAGTGTTTGTTACTAAAATAATAAAAAATTGTGTTCCGTCAATTTCAGACCTGATGAATGCTGGATGCCAATTTAATTCCATTCTTTACTTAGAAATTATACGTGGCGTATTCACAATGGTGAAGTAGGAAAAAACTGACCTGACACATGGGAGATGCCAATCTATTCAATTCTTTACTTGTTTAGTAAATGTATACGTGGCGTGTTCGCAGTGGTAAAATAGAAAAGCAAAGTGCCTCTACTCAAATATAATAATCCGTAAACACCTGTTATCTGCTTTCACTGTTGTTAACAGCATACAAGACAATAAGACAGTTCAAGTAGCTTCATCCTATAAGCAAAATGCAACTAAACACATTGTTGAACTTAATTTGTGCGTCTGTTTTACTCAGTCAAAATCGTAAGTGAATTTATTTGTCTTCAGTGCATTTTTGTGAATTTATTTGCTTATTTTGCAAGCCAAAATTATTTATCTTACTACTGATATATAATGCAATTATTATAGAAAAATTATGATTTACATATTTTATTACAAATATAGCTTTCTAATGTTTTAATAAAACCTTCTAAAGAAAACAACTTATTTATTAATTTAAACATATTTTTTTAATGACAGGATATTTGCTTTAAGCATTTGTATAGAATTTTGCATGCACCACAGGTGATAAGCCGATATTACATTCGAATATTATATTACGAATGCAAAAGTTTCCTAAACATAAGTATAGATATCAGAGGAGCGTATAAAAAATGTTATATTTTTAATTTTTAAATTTTTAAAATTATTTCTTAAAATTTAGAAACGATGATACATGATTATTTGAAACGTTTAAAACTTTTTTGTTGCTGGAAAGCTGATGTCTATAATTAACGGCTCTAAATATATAAATTGCCTAGTAAGGAATTGTGTAGACACAGTGTATTATTTATTTTATTTCATTGTTATTCACTATTTGTCTAAAAGGTACGTTTCAAGTTTTCATTAAAAATTATGTATTATTGCATGCATTACTTTTAAATATATAAGATTTATGGTATTAGTAATCTTTGTTGAAAATGAAGATGTACAAATATAGCTAATTTGGTAGTGTATAGTAAGGCACATTTACCTCAGGTTAAAAAATAATAGGCGCAACTCTGACGTAATCAATACTTCAGTCAATACATCTTTTGGCGTAGTCATACATTGTTGTACAAAATTAAGACTTAATAGTGTAATTATTGTAGTTAAATAATTACTATTTATGAAACCGTATATAAGCAAGAAGAGTGTATGAGAAAAAATTTAATCTGAAAGGATTTATATTTTAACAGCTGCCCAGAACAGCTTTTTTAAAGTTTAATTCGGTCTATCAGAAGAGATCGTCGACAGAGATGGGTCAGATAGAATAGCGAAATTTTTTTATAGAATATTTGATGAATATGTATTTAGACTAACATCAGAACGTTACACGTCTTCTGCATATCTGAAAACTGAAAAAATATGTTACTTATGTATGTAATATATAAAAATATTTAATGTTTCGAATTAGCCACATCAGGAATTAATTAAAATTTAAATCAATCAGATTAAAAAGTAAAAAAAATAATGCTCTACAGAATCTAATGCTTTTAAATAACTTAATTTGTTAATCAATAAGACAGGATTAAACCAAATAATAAACTTCTTACTTTTTGCCGAATGGTAACAGGCTAGAAGGAAAAATTGAAACAACGCATTTTCAGTGGAGAGTATGAAGTGTATCAACGTAAAATCGTGTTTCCAGGCTAATAAGCTTTTGGACTAAGATGTAGAATTAAGCAAAACTTTTCTCTCACCTTTCATTAAATAACTGTTATTTTAGTTCATGTTAAAAGGATTCAGTACAGTCTTCCGAATAAGCTCTTAAAGCTGTACGATATATATATTTTATTCCAATATAATATTTCAGTGAAAACCAGTTCTTACACAAGTGCTAAAAATGTTCCCATTAAATTTGCATGACCTCGGTAAACTCACATAAAAATACAAGTAGCGTAATTTGTTTTTTATAATTTCATAAATGTTTAGAATAAGTTTTTTAGTAAATTTAAATATTTTATACTTTTAAATTACATAATCTAAAGCAAAATATTCTATTTTCTACTGATGCTACCTAAGTACTATAATACCAATATTTAATAAAACAATAACAAGTAATTATAACTTACAATAGTCTTCAAAATGAAGATTAAGAGTTTATTGCACATTAAAAATAGTACTTTTATTTGCGTATGTTTTATGCCACACACGCATATATATATGTATATATAGTGAGAGAAAGAGAGTTTAACTTTCTCTCACTATACATACATACTATATTAAAACTTTAGTAAATAAGTTTATTTTGATATTGAATTATGATATATAAGAGTATTAGCTTATCTTTACTGAAAGAAAATGTGTGTTTTTGTAGATGTTAATTTATGGTAATAAGGAATACAATGTTTAGGAAAACCTTCTGCGGTACCGAAGGGCCCGAGTTCGAATCCCGAAGAAGGAAGGTCTGTCACTATCTGTTCCTTCGTAGGATCAAACGGTGACCCACCTATCAGGTGCTCTCACAATAAAGTAGACAACACTTCGGGTCTTAGTAGTGGCCAAACCTAAGTCGACTAATTCCCCCCCCCAAAAGGGACTATACGTATATATATATATGTGTGTGTGTGTGTATGTATGTATTATCGCTATTCTTCTTGTAGTTCGTACATTTTTGAGAGATGAATTACGTGAAAAATCTTAGCATGTTCAAAAATAATATATGCTACTCACAAAGTATTCATTGAGTAAGACTGAAACGGTTACACAATTAAATAATAAATAAATTATCATTTTTATATTTTGCCCGCTTTCGTTTTAATAATTTTTTGCACCAGTTTCGTATTTTAACAGTTTGTCTCTTTCATTTGTTACTTCATATTTTTAGCGTTTACACTTTTTTTTTTTTTTTTTTTTTTTTTTTCGTGTTTTCTTATTTGATATGCAGAAATGTTTAGCTCCTCAAGAAGAGTTACAGGAATTTTTTCGCCCTTGAAATCGAGAGTGTTTATTTAAAATCCATGCTAAAATAACATTGGTGCTTTACCTAATTTTAAATATTAATTCTTTACAGGTATTCTAAGTAACTCTTATTTTAAGATAGTCTTGTTTTCCATTTATGACAAGAGAAAAAAAAATTGGGATAATACATCATTGTAAATATTTCTAAAAAGGTTACATAAATATTATTGATGCAGCTGAATATGAATGAATAGTTTCTTTCATTGGTGAATATATATGTATATGAACTAAATTTATCATAATATGAAATAATAGTAATAACTATTCCTGCGTAATAAAATCTAAAACTATTAAAGAATATTTATTTGTTTATATTGTATATATAAAGAGGAAATAATTATGCTTCTGGCAGCAAAATAGAAATTTGGTATTAAAAGTCATATATGTTCATAAAACTAATTAAGATCAGCATAATAAGAAACAACCAGTATTAGAAAAATAGTCTTTATAAAAAGAAATTGTATGCAACAAATCGCTCTATGAATTTTTTTAACGAAATTTTCTACAAAAATTTGACTTAGAAGGATATTTACACGAATATTAGACACCATATGTTGAAAAGAAAGCGATTAAGTGAAGCTTTTCTTGATTCGAAAGTTTTGAATCTTTTAGCAAAGAAATAGTAAAAAATATGTTTTTTCCTAGAAAACATTTATACTATTCAACAAGAAATACAACATGAAAGCTTTAGAAATAGTATGTCAATGATTATGCAGGCAAAATTGTTATTAATGTAACATAGCGCATAACGTTAGTATTTAGCGCATAACGATAAATCATGGATATTCTTATTAATGAGATATATAAAACCTGGCCTATAAGAGATAAATTCTTTTGGATTCATTCTTTATTAAATATATGTTTAACTTATTTACAATTTTTTTTCTCAAGTTTAAGACAGTCTGTGGGGTTTAATTATAGTCTACTGTATTTTAAATAAATTGTAAAAAATAAAATACAAAATGCACTACTAAATTATTAAATTTTCTATGTTCCCTGTAATTCTTAATAAAGAATTATTCGTAAGCAAACAAGCCATTAATATTGAACACTTAATTCCTTAATGAAAATAGAGGTTTTAGTAAATAGAAACACCAAGCATAAAAACATTAGTTCACATTAAATACTTCCTTACACACAGAAACATTTTAGCTTTTAATGTGCGTTTCAACAAGCTGGGCAAACCAAAAACATTTTGCGCAAAATGAATTTCATATTTAACATGCTAATGTTAACAAGATTGTGATTATGTAAAATCAGTATGTGCACAAAGTTTGCTGTTTTTTATTTTTATTAAATTATTCAATCTACATGAATCATTCTTAATTTTGCAATAATTTTATAATGTCCTGTATGTGCACTGCGCCAAAAAAAAAAAAAAAAAAAAAAAAAGGTGTGTGGGGGGGACAGATCGATATCTCCCGTTCTACTGGGCCGATTGACGAAATTCAAATTGCGTTTTTTATGTCTCGAAAGCGCGACTTAGGATATATATTACATTTATATATAGCATCATTCTAAAATAGGTATTTTGACACAAAATTCGTACTTTTTCTGAAATGACATGCCATTTTTTTTGCATATTTCGATTATATGACTCAAATTATGCCAGATTACCAAGTTTTCTAAAATTCGCACGAGTAATTTTTAAAAAATTAGCTCTCAAATTTTAGCTCCTCAATGTTAATTGAATTTGGTATATATTTATTAATATCTCATTTTTTATTAAACGTTTTTGATTCTTCCTTTCACATTTCGAAATTTAGGTGCATTCCAAATAAAATTCACCCATTTTTTATAATTTATTTTTAAAATTCATATTCTTAAATGATTTTTATGAATTTTTCGAAAAGAATTTTGAATTATAACCTATAAAATTTTTACCATCGTCTTAAAGTAGATGTATTTCTAAGCATAGCTGCAAAAAATTAGAATTTTTTATTCAAAATTTTGTAATGTTAGGTTATTTAATTACGGTTAAGCCTCGAGGGCTATCTGCCTAACAGGAGGGATGCCTTCGTGGAGGGCTTTCTAAGGAAAACTGGCTATACACGTTACACATGGGGAAAGCCTCGAAAACACCCATGCAGCCGGCCCGTTCGCGGGATTCGAACCTCGGACCGAACGACCAGTGTTCAGCGACTCGACCGCTCGGCCGCTATGCTTAGAAATTAATTTGCAAAGTTTTCTACTTCAATTTCACTTTAAATTGTTTGATGAGTTTTCAGAGAAGCTGGGTTACATGGGCGTTCTGCCCGAAAAAAGAAATTGTGAGGATAACAGAAAGCTTAGGCTTTCATGCGCAAAATTAATGATAAATA